TAGAGTAATGAATACCAAAAAAATATAAATAAATAATAAATTATATTTGAATGAACCGCGGTTGGTTTAATACTTTTTTTATTCTTCTCTTTCTTATTCACCCTCTAACTGACAAGTCAGTCAGCCCGTGTAGTTAAAAAAAAATCCGTTCCGTTTTAATTCGCAGAAGTATACGTTTCCAAAAATTAACACGGGATCCGACTATCTTCTTTATTAATTTATCTATGTAGATATCACTAAATAAGTCCCAGACTCTTTTTGCAAAATTTATAAACCATACGTTAACATTGAATGTTAAACTGGACTACTACAATAGACCTAAAATGGTCGTGCTATTTTCACGTATAATCGGAGACTAAAAGAAAAGTGAAAATAAATTACATTCACATAAGCTACAACAACTTAACCTTAATTACATTCCAGAAAGTTTCTGAGCAACAAGAGAAAATAACTTCAGCACGTAACAACAAAGCAAAGTAAAAAGTAACATTAAACTCGCATCACGTATAACTGTGGCAGAAAATCATTGACATTAAGTCAAATTATAAAACTTCCCGAAGAGACATTTATCTTTATAAAACAGGAAAATGGTCCAACTTTAACATAAATCAAGAAATTCGTCGAGTTTAAATCAAGATAAAATCAGTGTTTGTATAGTTACAAAAAACGGACATTTTTAACCCTTTCGGTCATGTTGTTCTCTATGGAGGATATCAGATTCTTAATTTTTTATATAAGATGGAACGCTTTATCTTGACGTTGCTTATAGGTACTTACATTACTTATGTCTTTTATATTAATCCCCAATAAATGTGGCGATATCCATACGTGAGAAAGCACAACTAAAACTCAATAACAGTAGAGAGAGTTGGTTGAATTATTAAAGACATTTGTATTCACCATAAAAAATATTTTTTTCTTATTAAAAATCACAAATCTTATGGAAATTGGGTCCCGTTTTGATATGTGATAGAGTTCATCATACTGGTCAATTGTCTCAATGGCCACAAAGCTCAAAAATGGATAGTTTGGCCGGTACAGAGCTTTATAGCTCCGAGTATCCTCCACGGATTTATGTATATGCGCAGTGTGTATAGACTTTTGAAATAGCCTATTTCATTTTTTTTATTATCTAGGTTTATATTTTTGAGGTTGCTGAATTTGGATCTGTCGTTAGATTTTCAAAATTTACAGTTGGCAGCTGTCAAAAAGCTGTCAATGTGCTATAATAAAGCCAAAAACTTGTTTTTTGTTTTATCTTTCTTTTTTTTTAGTTCGATAAGTTTAAAGATGATATCAAATCAATAACAATAACTATCGGTAGCTGTCATTTAGCTGTCAACAATTCTTCAAAGTCTGGTAATAAAGTCAAAAAATTATTTTTGTTTATAACTTCAAGTTTTTGAGATAAGTGAATATAAATATGATATAAAATTATGTGGTCATCAGCTTACAGCTGTCAACAAGCTGTCAACTAACTATCAAAATGCAATAATAGAGCAAGTAACTTATTTTTTGTGCTTAACTTTGTGGATAAGAAATCAAACATGATATAAGTTTATGAACTCAGTGATCTAAGCAACTTAAAGTTTTTTTAAAAAGTAACTTTTAACATGGAACATGTTCATAATGAGGGGGTACTTCGCGAAGTCCTCCACTTAGGAGGGGGTGAAAATGGTCAGTTTTAGAAGGGGGGGGGGGGGTGAAACGGGACTTAGAAGAATTTCGATTTAGGGACTTAAAATAATTTCTTTAAAGGGACTTAGGATAATTCGGCTTTAGGGACTTAGAATAATATTTTTTATTAAACTTGGTTATTGGTTATCCGTAAACATGTGCTATGCCCGTTAATTGTGTTTACACAACTCGGTTTTGACAGTTAGTTGATTGATAGGTGACAGCTGTAAGCCGAGAATATCCTCGAATGTTGCCATATGCAAATAATAATATATAGGTAAAGGTCGGTTTATTATGTTATTAACTTGTTCATATTGAAAAATAGATTTACACTTTCTTTCTCATTAACCCTTTCCTGGGCACCGGTACATATTTGTACCGGCTAGATTTTTTGCTTGTTACCCCCGTATCTGCTACAATTCGGACTTTGGATGGTTGACTATGGGTATTTCATGTCGCTAAGAGGTTCCTGAAATTAGTCCTAGTGATTTTTCTACGTAATTGTTTATTGTTATTTAATTATAAACAATTGAAAGTGAAAAAACAACTTTTTTTCGGATCTCCCAATTTATCCCGAATTTTCATTGAATAGATATTAAAAAATTATTAATATGCTAACGATGCTATCAAATTATCGGTCATTCTGCCCATGTCTACAAACGTCGTAATCTCTACAAGCGCCATCTTTTATAAGTCTAGGGCCGATGGATTTGATAACAAACCCTAAATTGGACTATTTAATAAAAATGTCTGAAGAGTTTGCCATTGGTGTAGATGTTGACCTACTTTTAGAAGAATTTGTAAAGTTCTCATCATATTTGGAAAACCCTTCACTAAATTTTAAAGACATTAAAATTGACCAGCAATGGGTTTATTATTTTATGTTTTTTTCTCTTCCTACTCAAACGCGACGAGTGAGAACATTTTTAGTCTAATGTTTGTAGCCGGAGAACACAAAGACATTCTCTTTCTATAGAAACAGAATCTAAACTAATGATTAAATTTAATTATACTGAAAGAATTTGCAAAAAGTTTTGAAAAGGAAGGAAAAAGTCTTCTTGGTAGAGTAGGAAACAGTTCAAAATATTTGTAATTTTAGAATAACTAATTGGTTACAATAGGAATTTTACATTTTTTGAAAAGTTTAACTATTTTAATGTAAGCATTTTTTGTTGAATTATGTATATTTTTTATATATTTATATTTTATTTATATAACAGACATCCAAAGTTTGCGGTCAATATTACAGAATACCAGGTGGCGTGATTCTGTAAACACAAACAGAAGCGAAGCAATAACTTATTTTTCTGTATTCTTTGTACTTACAGAAAAAACCCACAGAGCTGGAATTATGTTTTAGTTCAAGTGTTAACCCTCCTATTGTTAATTTTTTTTAAGTGTTTGTTTATACAAATGTACAGTCGTGACATGAAGATTGCCAAAAATTATACCAACATTAAGACTAGGTACTTGTACGCAGTGGCGTAGCCACGGGAGGGCTTTTGGGAGTGAGAACCCCCCCCCCCCCCCCATGGAGGGTCCTCGTGTTCCCATTTCCGCTATAGTATGGCATTGATCGCTATTGACTGTTTGCTTTTTTTCATTTTCTTGATGGAACCCCCATAGTTCTCAAAAACTCCTCCCGTGAAAAATGGCTGGCTACGCCACTGCTTGTACGTTGACTTGTTGGAAATGTTTTATTAATCGGGCATTGAAATTTGTTTTTTATGCTACTGTAATATCTTTGTATATTTAGTAGGTATTTGAATATTAAGTATTAAAATAAATGTTTTTTCTTCAAAAATTAAAACCTCCCGCTTTTCATTTCTGAAAATCTGGCAGTCCTACTGTGGAGGAGAATACTTTCAAAAATAATAAATATTTTTTTTTTAAATAAACTTTACTAGGCTTAACGGAGAAAGAACAGCCCTCGCATATAAATAATAAATATGAAAAGAACATTAAAAATCAATAATTCAAATGTGTTATCTATATAAAATTTTACATAACAATGTAATAATCGTTACAGTTTTTTATACTAATTACTGATGACCGACTAACGAGTGAACTTTATGTCTATTAGTTTGCAGTGTCTTTGCATTCTCTTATGCCACGAGTGGCCAACAAGTTGATTGCGATCGACCGGTCAATCGTGAAGCCAATTTTGGTCGATCATCCATCGCTCGCAATGTTTGGGGAGGAATTTCAAGTACCATGGACTTTGAAGCTATTGTAGAAGATAAAACTTAAAATTATCAGCCATACTGAACACTTTTTTAACAATTTTTTCATATTTCAACTCATACATTGCAGTTGATAAAAAAATAAAATTGCGTTTTAAGTTAGTAAAAATCTATCTTGAAAAAATGTCGGAAAATCCAATTTTTTAGGTACCACATGAACGAAATGCTGCTGTTAAAAGTTGGGTACAGAAATTTATTTTCTTTATGAGCCTGTCTTTTTTTAAAGCACATGCCCTTTAGAAGGACTCGGTTTATAAAAATTTAAGCTGAGGTCATTTTTTTTCTTCAGAAGCTCGCCAAACATAGTGAGTCCGTTTTTTAAGCAACCCTACCTTTATTAAAGATTAATAGAAGGTGTCAACCCTACCTTCTACTGCAACACAGTGTATAAACATGGTATACATTTCACACCTTTTCACTAAGCCTATAACAACAAGTCGATGCGACACACTTTTGAGATAAAAAGTAGATCTTATATAAAGAAAAGTTGGCCATCACCGTCTTATACCAACATGTATTTGCCAAAGATTTAAATTGATGTTCTATAAAATATTTGAGTTAATTTTTATTTTTATAGATTTCGACAAGCATTTTTGGAATATAAAGTTGTCTTACATTTACAAAACCAGATTTTTGAAATAGATTGGCCGAGAAATATAGTCGAGACTTACCTAGAATAATTTTAACAAAAGTTTCTTAATTTATATTGTCACGTCCAGTAAATATTAAAATATCATTATTAAAATGATAAGTTATTACATTTTTAAATGAATTCTGGAAATACAAAAAATAATTATCTCTAGTAGAAAATCTTCAATAATCTTTTAAATTCAAAGATATCTCTAAGTAAATAAAATTAAAAATGTTTCTTTTTATTTAATAAACTGCATTTTACTTTACTAGGCTCAACGAAAAAGAACAGCCTCCGTATCTTCGAGTGGAAAGTTTGGATTGAAGTGAGTTAGAAACTGCTTTAAACGTTGGTAGAAAGGGAGGTGGATCACGTGTTTAATTTATTATACATATTTACACCAAACGTTTATTTATCCTAGGTTAATTCCTAAAAAAGTATACTCTTACCTAAATTTGTAGCTAATCCCGCTAAGAACGCCTTGCTCCTCTTTTTCGCCTTCTTCCCAAAACAGCAACACGACTTTTCTTCTTTCTTCTTTTTGCTAACATCTCTCTTCAACGAATTAGTGTTCTGTTTTGACACTGTGGGATATGGGTCGTAGCAAAAGTGGCCCGTGTCTTTTTCCATGACTTGGTCTAGGGAAATTCGTCCATTGGGGTTGGATGGGATAGTTTAGGATGACGGGTACGAAGACATTTAATTAAGTATCTAAATAAAGAGATGGTGGTAGTGGTAATTGTGGTCTGTTTAGGCTAGATTGGTGAATTTCATTTTCTTCTTAGATTTTTGCATGTTGTTAAAGGACCTGGAACAAAAAATATAAAATTAGATATTGATAATAATTGTAAAAACAAAATAATTTAAGCATAATAGAGTAAGTAAACGCAAAAATCAACTATAAATTGGAGTAAAATCTTTTGATTTTGTTTGCGTATCCTTGTCGTCATGTTGAAAGAGGCGTTTACAAGTGCAGTTTAGTATTAGAGATGTTTACTTTAAATATAAAACTGCAAATATAAAATTGAAATGTTGACGACTCTTTCTTTTTGTTTAAGTTTAATACCTATTTAGGTAACCAGTAACGAAATGCCTTACTTTATGCTCTGTTACATACAATATTTTTTAATAAAACATTATTGACATCTACGCAAGCAATATAACTTTCTTATATTGTTAGTTGTATGCATGAATTCATTGATTTTACTAACCAATAGCATAATATTAATTTATTTTCAACAGCATGTTGTCTATTTGTATTGCTTATTATAGTTATTTATTATTTAAAAAAGTGGGTTATTTTGTCGAGTATTGTATTTTAATTTTGTGCTGATTTAGAATAAAAAGTAAGAAACAAAATACATTATTACCAGGTTGTAAATTTAACAATTTTTTTTTAGGTTAATCTGCCTTTCTTTGATATAAACCTTCAAGGATAATGTATGTACTGATTTGGAAACCAAAAAGATTTATTTTTAACTGTTTTCTTCTCGCAACTGATAACATAATGAATGTTCAATATTATGCAATTGGTTGCGTAAAGTAGATCACTTTGACACATGCTGCAATTTCCGAAAATGTCAATTTATAGGTCAAAATTAGAATAAACATTTTATAGCTATTGGAACGTACATAATTTATAGTATTTTTAAAATTAAATGATATTCAGAAGAATAAACTTCTTTAATTTTTTTGTCCATGATGGACATAGCAATGTCTAGAGTTCGGATTTTCAGGCTTACTGTAAATATCAAAAGCAAATAGTACATAACTCAAGATATTAATAAATTAAATGAAAAAATTTCCAAAAAGGCAGTGTTTTTTATCCTTATTTTGCCTTTTTTTTAAACTCAATGTCTATTTTATTTTTTATGCACATTTACAACTTTTTGCGTTTTGTTGAAATCGTTGCTCATTTTTTAACAAAGTCGGAACATCTGGGGAGTACTTTATGGGAGGCCTTTTTTATATTTTATGGAATATATCTGTTATTTATGTTTGGAGAAAAAAAAATAGTTTAAATAAAAGTTACTTCTAATATTATTATCTATAATTTTTGTGTAATGTCAAAATTTCCTGAAATGGTCCGTATTCGAGAAATTTGAAAAAATGTGCAAAATTCTGATTTTTATGAAAATTGTTGAAATAAAAGTTGTTTGCGATATCGATCTCTATAATTTTTGTTTATACATGATTTTTCTAAAATGGACCGTAATGGAACAAGTGATCTAAATTAAAAATTTTAAAAATCCGACTTCAAAAACGTGCAGATGCCGTCACCACATCTTATCCAAATTTATATGTGGCCACCCCTGAAGTACCCCCTTACTAACAAAAAAAAGAATCATAAATAGGACGAGGTGGTAAAGCATTATCGCTAAACATACATGAAAAATTAAGAATTTCTCATGGACCCAATTATTAGATTTTGACCAAATTTATATGGGACCACACCTCAAGTATTTCCTTTCTAACAAAAAAAGAATCATTGAAATCGGATACCGTAACCTTCTCCTTTTTTGAAGTCGGTTAAAAATTGTAGGAAAAGTGCTAAATTTAAATTTTTTAGTATTTTCGTTTTCAATAAATATCTATAGAAAAATTTTTCGAGGTAGATGTATGTGGAAAATGTATATATTTAGTTTATCCTCTAAACATTTATAGAGGTGCTGCAATAGGTTGTACAAAATAACCGGAAAAAGCCTGTATTAACTAGATAGGAAAGTCATGTGTTGGACACATCAGATTTTATCTGTATACAGATAGGAAAGTAAAAAGCTAAAAGATACATAATTTAAAAATCAAGATTTTCTACAGTTAAAAAAGTGCTTTGGTCAGTTAAAAAAGTGCTTTGGTATTGCCACGAAATGTTATCTAGACTTTCAAATGACCTCATAAATTATTAACAAGTGTTGACATAGAAATATGTTTTTCAATCTATAGCAACATTTTAAGTGATCGATGACAAAACTATACAATGGAACATTTAAACCAACACTTGTTCATTGCTTATTTTTTCCAAAGTTTATTTTGTTATACCATATTATTTAAATTTATTTTAATATTTTGTGTATTTCAGGACTTTTTTGTGCATATTTCATGCTTTTCTAAGTAAAACTTTATGATTTTTAAGCGCTTATTTTAGGTTTTTTGTACTTTTTTATCAGGACTCTAGTAATGACATTATAAAAATAGATTTAAAATATATCGACTTCTTTGTAAAAAATTTGTTCGCACTTACCCAAATTTTTAAGATAGTGAAATTTTGTATCGTTTAAAAACATACGAAAATCATATTTTTGTTCGGCGAGTATCGGCTAAAACCAGCCGATATAAGAAAAGCACTTTTTGGCGACGTTGTCAACTACATAAAATCTATAGGCTGGCTTACGAGCTAGGAGGTGCCTATCATCTTATGAGGATGCACAATGGGCCTGATGAGGCACAAGTGCCTTTAGGTAACCCACCCTCCACACGTTACAGATACAGATCACAGATAGTTTCTCAGTGTACTGATAACTTTTATTTTAAAAATTAGGTTCATTGAAACATATTGGTCTACAAATTTTTTCGAATATAATTAAAATATCACTGTTTCTCTAAAGAAGGTTATATACTAATCAATATTAATTTCCATATAATTCCTAAGCTGAGTTATGCATAATTTGTACGGGGCTGATAATTTATTGGTTGTAACATAAAATCTGAAACACTTTTTATTATTTGTGAACATTTGCTGGTAATAAAATACTCGTTAATGAATAACTTCACTTAGAACATAAAAAGTTCTTAATTGCAGCTACGAGCAAGAATCGACCCTTCACGCAAACCTACCCTTTTCAATTACACTTACGTCTATGTATCCTGAATTTAATTAGTCCTTTATCAGTACATTTAGGGACAATTTAAACTCTTGTTTCATCTCACGCCCGCTCCTCGCGTGTCGACATTCGTCTTCAAAGCCTGCGAATTCTGTCGAGCGTGAACCATCTAAACATGTCCCTTTAACTGGAGAAGCACACATCCGAAGGTTTAGTACACTTTGTACTTTGCAGTGATCAAACACGTCGAACCTCCCGATAAACTACACCTTTCGCACGTTCTAGAACTCGATCGACCGCCTCTCCTGAAGGCGACGATGCATCCTGCTCGACTACATGCCGAATTAACATTAGAGCTGGTCCAGAGTTTCTGTGTTGAACGAAGAGTGATAAACAGCCAATAATTTGTTTCCAGAAACAATTTACACTAGAACAGAATGGTTTTACAAGAGGTGCATCCTGCAGAGACGTGTTTATTGCAAAGCAACTGATTGAAAAATAAACGTGAAATAAAGATGAGATGATATCTATGTCGAATGAAAACTGATAAACCGCCAATAATTTGTTTCAAGAAATAATGTACACTACAATAGAATGGTATTGAATTATGTACATCCGGCAGAGACGTGTTTATTGTAAAGCAACTAATAAAAGAAAAACGAGAAATGTATATGAGATGATCTTTATATCGAATAAAGACTGACAAATAGCCAATAATTTGTATTAAGAAATATTTTAAACTAAAAAAAATGGTTTTAAAAGAGGTACATCCTGCAGAGATGTGTTTATTGTAAAGAAACTGATTGCAAAAAAAAATACACTTACACGGCATAGATGTTCTTAATTTTGGCAAATACAATAATTCAGAGGAGTGCAGATGTAGAAATGAACTAATCACAGTAAACACACATCATTAGAGCTGCTGATGCATATGTAATGAAATGTACGAGGACCTTGAGGATGTAAAACATTGTATTCATCCATGATAATTTGCACAAATTGTAACTGCGATAACATACTCAAATAAATTGAAGAGAGAAATAAAAAGATGATATCATTATTGATTCAATAGTCACTAGTTGACCACATAAATAATGAACACTAAAAGAGAATGGTTTTAGAAGCAGTACAGCCTGGCAGAGACGTGTTTGTTGTAAATCGACCTATTAAGAAAAGACGTAAAACTAAGATGGCATAGATGACGGGTGTAATTTGGAATATTAACCTAAAATTCTTAGGTGTGTGAATACAAGAAAAGCAATAATGAACTTATCCCAATTACCACACATTAGTAGAGCTGATAAAGCGTTTTTCTATAAAATCTCTATTTTTTTGCATATTTTTTAAACAAATTTTTACAAGAGTAGCTTTTTTAGCAAGTAAATTATTTTGCACTATTTTTTACTCAGATTTAAGTTAGCAATTTTTTTATGAGTAATTTACAGGATAGTAAGATTGTAATGGAAACTTAATTTCAAATTTTTTAATGACAACATGAATTAAGAAAAACTTAGTTCATTCGTTGAAAAGGGAGACACACCTGCAGGATGCTTTACTGATCACGCGAAATTATTTGATTTTCCTGTTAATCGAAGGTATTGCCAGTCTAAATGTTCATGGGCATTGGTACTCAATAATAGTTTAAGGCAATGTCATGCGAGTTATTTTGTATCAATTTGTTCTTGCTTTAATCCCCTTCGAAATCCCCAAAGATGCTCCTATGGCAACCGTCAGCCCGTTCTAGAAAGTACTGGAGCCATGGCGAAGCACCTTGAGACGTCGATTCTGGAGAATGCGCTATTTTATAAA